ACAGCTCAGCTGTGCCTCCCACTCGCCAGCTCCCCTCCGGCTCCCTCGCCTCCTATGCAAGTGGTAAAAAGCAATCAGAATGCAGCTAATTAAGTAGCCCTCAGGCTCTGCAGCAGATCGTCTGCTGCAGCAACGCTGGGGTACAAAAGCACGCCTGGCAGGCGCTGCTGGGCGAGAGAGGGCCGCGGCGCATCCACGAACACCTAAACTACGTTGTTTGACCAGGAGAATAGCAAATGATTACAAATGAAGACTTTTTTTCGTTGAGGAGGGAAATGCAATTTCGGGAGATGGCGCCGCGGCTGCAAGCAAAGGGACGCAAGAGGGGGGCCTCTCCCTCCTGTTTGGTGGCCTGTCTGCACAATGTTTCATTTAAAAAAAAGGGCAACGCGACAAATGTCGTTAAATTAATGTAAAAAGGGCTTATCGTTCTCAGCGGAAAGCTAAGGAGGCGTCATACACCCAAGGGCGCGTGTATCGCAAAGGGCGAGCACGGGAGGAGAGGCCCGTATGGAAGTGTGTTTTTTTGTGTTTTAAAATAACTGTTATAAATTTAAAAAGTAATATCATGTACTACCTATAATTCATATGGAAACCCTAACTTGCACCGCTTTCTGCCTTCCTCTCTCGGTGGCGGTTCGGCGCAGAGGCGCCAACTCCCTCCTCCTTCGCCTTCCACAGCTGTTAGCAGCCCCAGCGCTGCCGACGGAAACAGCTGAGTTGAGTTATGAATTTAAAATTCAAATGTAAATTCAGTCTAAATGAATTTCGAGTTTAGGTAGCAAGAGGCTGCTGCTGCAGCTCGGTTTAACAGCAGCGTGTCTGCTGTGGCGATGCCGTAGCTCGACGCGTTCTTCTCGAGCTGATTCACGATATTACACATCCGTTGCTTTAATAACTCTGAAGTCTTTTTATTGCCTCCTGCTCATTGTTTGCTCAGCTAGTAGGCCCAGTCCCCCCCCTTCACGGGCGCATAACGCTTCAGGATGCTCCTGCCACCCCAGCTGCTCCGAGCGGCCCGCCGTAGTGTGGGAATCAGCTGTGGAAGGCATCTGTTCCCTGCCTTGTGCAATCATCAGCATCAGCAGCAGCACAACCATCTCTATGGCATCTATAGGAGCAGCAGGTGCGTGCACACGGAAGTGTGTGCGGGGAAGGAAGAGGAAAAGGGGGCTCTAAGTGACCTTGAGTCTGAACTGGTGGTCGTGGGCTGCGGGCAGATGGGCACTGGAATTGCGCTGACTGCTGCGAGGCATCTGGCAGGAACACGCGTCACATTGCTGGACATATCAAAGACGCAGCTGCAGCGGGGCCGCAAGTTCTCGGAGCTGTGGGTGCAGAAGGAAGTTGGCAAAGGAAAGCTGGAGCCAGCAGCAGCTGAGAGTCTGTTGCAACGTTTGTCTTTTATCTTCCTTGATCCAGAAGTTTTAATTTCACTGGACGCATCGGCAGCACCCGAAGCTGTGCGGCGCTCTACATTTTGTCTAGAAAGCGCCAGCGAGAACTTGGCTATTAAGAGGAACATTTTTGCCCTTTTAGATTCTGCTGCTCCGCCTACAGCAGTCCTTGCAACAAACACCTCATCTATCTCCATAACCAAGATAGCTGCCGCCACCCGCAGCCCCCACAGAGTCATCGGGATGCATTTCATGAATCCTGTGCCGGTGATGCCGCTGGTAGAGATCATATCTGGGCTTGACACAGACGAAAACACGAAGCTGCGCACTGAACAACTGGCATTTCAAATGAAAAAGACAACTGCTCACGCGCTAGACAGGCCAGGCTTCGTCGCCAACCGCCTCCTCATGCCGTACCTCAATGAGGCGGTGTTTGCTCTGCAGGTGAATGAGGGTTTGGGATGCACAGGGAAAGCGATGACTGAATCTCCTTAGACAGGTTCCCCTAAAATGTATAATAAATTTAGTAAATATAAGCTGGATATATATATTGATACTTGTATATCAGAGTGGTTCGAAAACAAATACACCATCGCTTTTATCTCGCCTGCCTCTTCGGCAGCTCATGGCGCTGCTGCTGTTGTGTTGCTGCTGCTGCTG